TAATAATAATAATAATAATAATAATAATAATAATAATAATAATAATAATAATATTGTATTAATAATCAATGATAAATGCAAACAGTTTACTCCCTGAGAACTGTACAGTGGCGGCAATAAAAGTAGGCATACCTAAAAATGTGCTGCATATGTGTTTGAATTGCAGCGCTCAAACCTGAGCAACGACATTTGTAATTGTGTTAGGAGAGGAACAGCTGCCTAGGAGGCGCTCATAGGTAAATTGGCTCTCTATGGCATCGCAGTGATTGATCAATTGGAGCTGATTAAACATTAAGCGAATACTATGCAGAGCCGATGCGCCTCTCATGTCTCTGCATTAACACCTATACAACTATACAGATGTCGGATGTACATATACATACATACATACATATATATATCTTTGAGTCCTGGCATAACTCTATAGTGCCTACCAAAAAGCACATTGGCTGACTTTTTTTGCTGAGTTATAAAAAAAAGAGGATTAAATCAATAAAAGAAATATTAATATGTATATGTGCATGTGTATATATTATATTCTGAACAAATCCATATTTTATAAACAAGAATAATAATATTTTACTATAGAATATCTACATTAAATTCTCATTTAGACTTTGCAAGGCATTTACAAATTTCATTTGTCTTCTTTATATCTGAAATAATTAATTTTACATTTAATATTTTAAATATACACTAATTTTGATTAATATTAAATTTCATGCTATATTTCTTTATAAATTTTAAACAAATGTTTTGTTTGCATTGCAGCAGCAATTAATTATAATTAATGTCCGCTCGCCGTGTGGGAGTGGGTGTGAGCCGATCCAGTCTGATCTTTGTCTAGATTTTCTATTTCAATATTTGCCACGTGTCGGCGTTTAATTAAGCTTGCTGCTGCTGCTGCTGCTGCACTTCAGCCACGCCCATTTCCTCTTCTATTCTAATTTATGTAGATTTCTCAGTTGCTTTACATCAATTTCAGTAGCGGAAACATTTCTGCTTCTTGATGGCTGCGACAAATGCGAAGCATCACAAAAGTATATTTGGACACACGTGGCAGGTGTCAAAGCGAAGCGACGTTCATTGCGGCAGCAACAAGTGGCCAAAGGCCCCAAAACAAAGTCAAAATAGGAAACAAATCAACAACAAAAACAACAACAACAAGAAGAAGAGCTGCCATGCGAATGGCGTTAAGTTTTCACACAGCTGTGCAACAAATGAAACTTGTCAAACATTTACATGCATCACTCAACATCATTTACACCCACACACACACACTCACGCACACATACATGTGACGCCCGCGATTCTCCAAAATCTTTATAGCAAAAATTCCCAATTTTGTGAACTAAAGCAAAGAAGCGAAAAGAGTTAACTGAGTCAAGCAGCTAAAAAGGGGAAAAAAATAATAAAAAAAATAATAAAAAATAATAATAATAATAAAAAAAAAACTGGTGTTGCTAAAAAGCATAAAAAACGTTTCTGTATCATATTTTTTTAACGTGCGAAAAGCGCAGCGCTAGCAATAGCACAGTGGTCTGAAATGTACATATGTGAACTGGTGAAATATTGTACATGCTCTCCTAGAGAATATGTATGATTACTTATATGTGAGTTTAAGAAAAGGAAATAAGTCTGTGAAGTACATACATAAATATATATATTTTATATACACAAAAATAAAACTGAATATTTATCTAGATTTATTGTAAAAAGCTATACCATAAGCGTGAGTCCTAATCTTAAGTTTCGATTTCTTGTTATGATAAATTAAATGTATTCATTTATAATAATTATAGATATATATAAATAATTAAAACAATGACGAAATAAACTTAAGAATTTATTAATTAGAATAAATATTTTAATACTATCCTAAAATTCATACATATACAAATTGATATACCTTCTATATTCATATTTTATATATATATATATTTATATGTATGTCTATACAAATGCTTAAATTAACTTTTATTGAAGCAATCGAACATTCTGTTAAGCTCCTAGGGCATTTGATCTTCGGCAACATGCAGTAAGTCTTCTTTATATGTATATATGCACATTAATATTATTAATATTATTATTAATGCCACAACTTTTAGTTATATGTATTACCAAAAACCAGCAACAACAGTTGAATGGATGCCCAGTTACTAAGGGTCACAGTCTAAATTTCATAACTGGTTGCGTCGGCAGCGCAAACGCGTCGCGCAGTCAACGTCAACATTGACACCGACGCCGATGCCGACGGCGATGCCGACAGTGACGGCGACGTCAACGCCGACGCACAGGTTGGAGCGGCTCATGCGCTCGCTCGCTCGCTCGTTGCGGCGGGGTTTCGTCTCTGGCTGCCGCTCCATTCGATACGCGTCTGTTGCGAGCGCCAGTCGCAGTCGTCGCGAGTGTTGAGCAGCGGCCCAGCTAAACGGAAACCTGATTTCAAACTAATCAAAGAAAACACCAAATTTATGAAACATAATTTTATTTAATGCAAATTAATTAAGGGCTGCATAACGAATGCTCGAATCAGAAAAAAAAAACAAAGAAATGAAAAGAAGTTAAAGAATAAATTAAATACAAAATTCATTAACTTTTGCTGCTGCAGCAGATTTTACAAGACGTCAACGCTAGGTGGCGCCATCTACAGTCTCGTTCTGCTGCAAAACAAGGAAAGTGGTTGCCATAGGTGTGCGCGGGTGTGCGTGTGTGCGTACAAGTGTGTGTTTAGTGTTGTGTTATTAAGTGCACTACTCCATCAATTTAGCTGATTACAACGCTTGGGAATAGCTAAAGTAATGCACTCAAATACCTGAGTGGTAATTACATATCTATATACACAACATATGTATCTATGTACATATATGTATATAAATCCATCAGATAAAGGAATACTTCATTAGACTTCAAGGTAAGCCGCTAATGTAATTTATAGCCAAGATCAGTTAATCAAAGCCCCATAAAAGTTTAATCTGCTACGATAAGTGCGTAATTATAAAGCGATCTGAATTTGATGCAGAAATTGCCAATAGCAGCTACGATAAGGCAACAATTTGGGTAAATAACAGCCGAAGAAGAAGAGGCATACGTTGAAAATATGTACCACTGACCAGAGAACACACTCTGGTCAGTGTATGTACATAAATAAACAATTCAAATTGTGCTAAGCACCTATTGACAAACTGGCTTAAAACTTGAGCTCATTAGCAAACAAATTTAACTGCCAAAATAGATATAGGTATGCTACATATTAACTAAAAGACAAACATAGTTAGTCATAGTGTACATATATAAATGTGTAGATGATATATATAGATATATACTAGACTATGTGAGCTAAAGGTGTGCTTGAGGAAAATATGAGGAATGACAGCTGAGTAAAAATACATGATAAATTATAATAAAATATGCATTTAATACGAAAAAATTATATCGAAATATATCATTTTGTATTATTATATGCATATCTTAGGGGTTCTCTATATACAAACCCTTTCTATATAATAACCCTAACACATTTCTAGTCTGAGAGTAATAAAATATACATTTAATACGACAAAATTATATCGAAATATATCATTTTGTATTTTCATATGCATATCTTAGGGGTTCTCTATATATAAACCCTTTCTATATAATAACCCTAACACATTTCTAGTCTAAGAATAATAATATATGCATTTAATACGACAAAAAATTATACAAAAATATATCATTTTGTATTTTCATATGCATATCTTAGGGGTTCTCTATATATAAACCCTTTCCATATAATAACCCTAACACATTTCTAGTCTAAGAGCCGCTTCTTTAGCCCCACTTCTCATCTCCCAGCCTGACTTTCAGCTCAAATTAAACATTTATCAATGCAAATATTTACAAAATATGCGAGTTTATCGTAGATCCGATACCGGAGATATCTGTGCTAGACTTTTGAAATACCCAGCTCTCAGCTCGCGTCTGTTTACAGCGCAGACTTGCGCCTCTACCATATATAGATAAGCGTGCAGAAAACAAAAGTATCTGCAGCACTTTGATTTTCCCATTTTATCACAAACTGCGCAAATTAGATAAGATATGGCTATACACACATACATACACACTTAGGTATATTTATATACATATATGTATGTATATCTATATGCTTGTTTGCTCCAGTTTCGGTAGAGCCGATAAAATTGTTATTTCCCATTTAGCTTGATTTGTTCATTCACATGCAAAAGCGCAATCAATGTGGACACAGCTCTCGGCTTGCTCCTAGCCATATAATATGCATGTGGTTTGGTCAGATAGTGTAGTACTCTATATGGCTGCACACATGCACATGTATGTTGTCGCGGCTTGGCCTCTCATTTGCTTTCCATGACAACCTCGCCGGGCATAACAAGTCCAGCCAAAAGTTGTTTGCCAAATGACAACAACAACAGCCGGCTGCGTTGGGCAACTCCCCAAAGGACGTTCAGCTGGGTGGTGTGCGGCGGTTGCCAGGGCGCCGCCCTCAATGCCTGGCGTCATGCTACCAATTTAGCCAACTGCTCGCGACTTGTTCCTAGAACTTTCGCTGCCTTCTTCGTGTTTAATCGATAGCCTGGAAAATGTGTGTTTACTGCTTGTTGGGGGTTTTCCAGCTGGCTAATTGCAGATCATATCAATTTATTTGGCTCAAAGGGAGCGACAGAAAGAGAGAGAGCGAGAGAATGAGAGAGAGAGAAGGAGGCTGAGTAGATGCGGGTGGCCTGTGATTTGTGGCTGCTTTTTGCTTGACTTTGGGTTTGAGTTTATGTTAATTAGCTCGACGTCTAGCTGCGACGCAATTGAAAACAAATGTAACAAGGTCTTGTAAAAGTGCCTAACGTGTATATTACTACACATATATGTATATATAGCTATATAAATAAATCACATGTATTTAGGTTTACGTGCATTGTGTTCGAGATGGGCTTGGGAAAAATTTGTGTAAGCTTTGCCTAATAAATAAACATATTTCAATTTGCATACAGATTCACAAAATATATGTATATCTATTGCAAATGCTGTGCAACACCTCACTAATTCACTAATTCTTACCCAAATCAATCACTCGCACTATAAATATTTAAAGTTAGATCAACTTTGCTCCATCTTTGATTTCTAGTTTATAGACAAGAGTCTTAAATACATTTCTCAAGCTCGATGATTGCAGAAAGTGCCTTTCAAAAACGAACAACAACAACAACAACGAATCCATTTGGTAACGCAAATATTGCTGTAGTCAGTCAGTCAGTCCGATGTATATAGTATTCCGTGCATATTTGCAACGCTCCAAAAAATCCAATAAACGGCAATCGCAGCAGAAGGCAGCGAAATGCTTTGCATGCCCACAACACCATGCACATACATATGTTGCCATCAGCCATCAGCCATCAGCATATTTGCATACATACTTGTACATATATGTATGTGTATATACATTTGAAGCATTTACAACTAGGTACGAAACGGGCTAGGCACATTCAAGTGCAATTAACATCAAATCTCAAGCATCTTTGCTGTTTAACATCTGAGGTTGAGTTTTTTGTTGTGTCTACTCTATTGACAAGTCGTCAAAGTCGTCAAAGTCTCTAAGTCGTAGTCGTAGTCGTAGTCGTAGTCGTAGTTCAAGTCAGACTCCGATATCTAATGCTTAGTAATGCTTAGTGTAACAACTCATAGCACGCGACTCTGAAAACGCCTCAGAAAATGCTTTTCAATTGTTTCACTCCCGCTAAATTTGTGTTTAACCTTCACGAGCGTGACGACTTTCAAGCAGAGACTCAGACTCAGCCTCAGTCTCAGTCTCCGACTCAGCCTCAGTCACAGTTTATACAGCCAGATTCTGAGCGGCAAAAACACGAAGCCAGCTCGAGTGCCTGCTAAATGACATCAGCATTTGGTGGCGAGAACAAAAGCACGCTTCCATATCTTGGGGATGGACGCGGCGCGGGTAAAGCACACAGAATACAGAGAGAAAAAAAAAAGTATCTTAAAAGTATCTTGGTTTGCATATCGCACACAGTCGACAGGTGCCCAAGATTTCTATGTCAGTGAAAGCCGCAAAAAAGCAAAACAAAAAATCGCTCAAGGTGGCTTCATCATCTGTTTCTGCTTCTTCTTCATCATCTGGCTTTTTGTTTCTTACTGTTCATTCATAATTTATATTAATTATAAATTGTAAAACAAAAGCCACATCGGCAGCTGTGACTTCTCCTCAGCTGATTTGCGGTTGGTCGTAATGCGAGTCGGCGCATGTGCAGCTAATTGATCGTTGACTAAACGTGCGGCCGAGTGGAAATGCCTCAAGTTACCTGCCAAAGCCGATAATATACTATAATCTAGTATTATATTATAGTATACCCGCAATTAGGCGGGCAATTAAGCGAAGCTTTTCCTCAAGCGAGCTGACACATGACAAATTGTTTGTTTGCTGTTCCCGTTGATTGGCCAGAAAACAATTTTAATTGCTCCTTAACTGATCCCAATGAAAAACGAATGAAAATCTATAAAAATACATTTAATTGTGTGTATAGCAGCCCGCTCAACTTGGGTATTTCCTCAATTTTTAAAGGATAAATAAACTGATTAAATTTGTTGTGCCTCTTTGTTTTTTGTTAAATACGTTGGTATACAATATAAGTTGTACATAAAATATTTTAAAATTTCTGTTCAGAAAATATTGGCAATATTTATTAAAAATTATTAAAAAATATTTAATTATTATATTAAATTATTATATATATTTAAAAAATATATATAGTATAAAAAGCTATTTTAAAGTCTTGTTGTAATATATAAAAATATAAACTATCATTACTTTTAATATATAAAAATATAAACTATCATTATTTTTTATATATAAAAATATAAACTATCATTACTTTTTATATATAAAAATATAAACTATCATTATTTTTTATATATAAAAATATAAACTATCATTAATTTTTATATATAAAAATACTAATATATAAAAATATAAACTATCATTATTTTTAGCTTGAATTGCTTTTAGCAAAATTAAATTATATTTTGATTACATTTTTTTATTATGAGAATTCAGCTGTATGATTTATCATTTTTATAATTACTTTAAGATTTTAATCTAACAATTAATTTACCGTTCGTTTTTATTTATAGCTGTTTAGAGATTTTATGATTAATACCCCACACACAGCTTTTTTTGCTGTAAAGTTCATTGAATTTTTGTTATTTTTGTAAAATTAAAAAATAAATAAATAAATAAATAAAAGCAATTCATGGTACTAAAAAGAATTTATATATATAAAAAAAAAAAAAAATTATATTTGTATAAAACTAAAAACTAATAATAATTAAACGGTAAACAAAAATTATAGATAAACGCCGTGTTCTCAAAGCAATTTGGGGCAAACATTCATTCGTTTAGATGATGTTCAGATAATCAGTCAGACTACCAGATATACAGATTTTACCAATTTATATATACACATTTCTAGTCTTTATCTTTGGTGTTAGAGCAACTTGAATCTATTTTTATATTTTTGGTATTTTTCTTTTATGCGCAAGTACTTCAAATTCCATACAGTCAAACACCAAATGTTTACCTCGTAAATTTTCAATAAAATTCGATTATTTTTCATTTTTGAACACTCTAAAATGTCAACAATTCGATTTAGTTACGCAATTGCTTATCTACTCCATAAAGTCTGATAAAAACACAGAAAAAACGTAGCTCACACTGCTTATCGCAATTGCGACTCGGGCTACACATGATATGAGTGCAACATGTGGCAAGCCTTATAGAGCAGAGTGCTCCCTCCCTCCAACCATCAGTCACTGGTAAAGTGACACCAGAGACGACAAGCCCACGTGACCTTCAGATATGTGTCCATGTCGAGTGTGAGTTGTTGTTGTTGTTGTTGTAGTTGTTGTTTCTCATTATCGTGCTCGTTCTCGTTCTCGTTCTCGTTCTCGTTCTGGTTCTGGTTCTGGTTCTCTCTTTTAGGTTAACTGTGCCAAGCTGAAAGTGATGCCAGAAGTTCGCTCGAAGGTGAAACTTGGCCAGTTGGAACGCACCTGCTGCACTTTGGAGACCAACACAGAGAGCAGAACGAGCCGCGACAAACGTCTGCCATGTTTAGAGCTTGAGCTCTTTTTGCTTGGCTCAGCGCTTGGTCAACGATCTCCCCACAGTGCTCCAGTTACTTCATGTGACATTGAAAGATCTTTGCAAGCCTCTCTACTAATTGCTTGCCATGAATTGAGCCATAAGCCACAAACTTCAGCTCATTTCTTGGCCAGACTTGTCGGCGTTCATTCAAAAATATCGAGCAAGGCGCGTGCTCAAGCTCTAAGCTTGACTTCTGTGTGTGTGTGTGTGTGTGTGGGTGTAGAGGTTTTTAAAATATAAAAAAATTCACAAAAATATAAAGCTGAACTAAAGTAAAAGAGTCTCAGATTTCAATTAAATTTCATGCACGTCAACGTCTTGGCATTCGCTGAGTGGGCGGCATTAAAAATGCCATTAAAAACATTAGCTAAATATGGAAAAAGCTCAATGAATCAACTGCTGATATCTTTGTGTGTAAATTTTATTTTATGTATACATTTTCAGCTTAAAAATTGAATTTATTATTAAGTGAAATTACCCAAAAATATTTTATAATAATTTCAATTTTATTTCCAGCCTGCCAATGAAATTATTCTATATTGAAAAATCTTTTCCTTGTTGACAAAACAAAAGTTTAGCAATTATTTCATTAAAATTGTTTAATGCTGTTTTTGTAAAATGATGTAAATCGAAATTCTTATGTATAAATTTCTTTAGTAAATAACTTCTTCAATTAATTAGTTTTTTTCTAATACAGTAAAACAGCAAAAATATATTTCTGTTATCATTTACTCTACTATCTATTACCTATTAAATTGAAGTATTGATTCTTCCATTGAGTCAGCCATTAAAATGTTTTACAAATATCTCCCAGCAGCTCAGCGACATTATCTAAGCAAACTACTCAGCTGTGCATATATGCATAGAACTCTTATTTATATAGTAATATCATTTGAACTCTGCGCCTTTCAAGTGGTTTTCTAACTCTTATACATGCCCAGAGCCGAGGCCAGTCTTGACTATCAGCTCAGCTCTCGGTTCGCAGCTCTCTCAGTTAGTCATTTGGCGCATTCGATTGGTATTCTAGGCACGTACATCTCCCATACAGAGCTGCCCCCCATGCCCGATATGGCATATCATATACGGTATACACACACGTATATACATATATATATATATGTGGTATATATGAGTGAGTGCTCCATTCATATGCATAATTAAATCAAGACACTTGCGCATATTGCCGCTAAATGAAACGAGATATTTTTATGATTGCGGCGCAAAAAACAAATAAAAAAGAAAAACCTTTCAACTCGAATTATGCATATTGAGCATTAGGTATTAGGCATATAAATATTTGGTTTTACCTAACTAAGTGTTATTGGCATAAATTAAGATACAGATGTAGCAGCTGTTCCCCGGCTGAACGAGTTCGACAACTAAATATGACAGTCAAACAAAATCGAGTATAGATTCTCAGAAAATTATCATAGAATTATAGAAGCAAACGTTTAAGTTGAGCGAAGCTGAGAGAGATGCTTTAAGGCAAGGCGGCAAATGGAAATATATAAAAAAAATTAATAACAATAAAATAAACTTATAAACTTAAAACAGATATCTAATAAATTAAAGATTAAATTGATTAAAAATGAAAGAGTTTTGAAAGTCTAGAAAAAACAAATAATAATAAATATTAATGTACATATATATAACATAGCAATATTGCTTATTAATATTATTATTTAAATTTTTTAAAACATGTATATTAATTTATTACATACATCAATATTTATGTATATTTAAATTAAAGTATTATAGTATTAATAAAAATTTTGTATGGCTATTTTATTATTAATTTAATTTATTATTATTATTTATTATAAATAAAAATAAATATTATTGTACATATATAAAATAGCATATTGCTTATTAATATTATTATTATAATTTTTAATATATGTATATTAATTTATTACAT